CACTTCCAACCAGAGGGATCCCCTGATGCCAAATCCAACGGGCCCAGGCACAGCTCCTGGGAAGGTGGTTCTTGCAGGGAACACTGCAGTGCTCCTGGCATTTCACACAGTGAAGAGCTGAGGCGAATGGAATACCCAGCAAGTCCTGTTTTTAAAGATCTCTACTTCACAGGAAGTGTTTACCTGCAGTTTGTAAGTATATTTTAAAGCCATATTCTTTGCATTAAAATGTCTAGGTCATAGTATCCTAAGATATTTTGGTTTTACTTCCAAATTTTTGAGCCACCAAAAAAAAGAAAGCCATCCAAAAACCACCAAAACTTGGCTCTTTCTTCCCTTGTCTGGAGCTGGGGAAAGATTCCTGTTCTGCTGCCTGCATAGTTCACCTTAAACTCCCATCTAATAACCAAGACCAGCAGCTGTAATTGCACCTTGCAGGTCTCACAGGCAAAGACACACAAGTTTTTAACATACTATTTCTGGTGATAAAGGGGGAGCTCTATAAAAAGAGCAGAAGAACTTCTGGTCACTCTTCTGGCACGTCCCAGAACAGAATCCTGCATCAGCCATTGCTCAACAGCTCAGAGTTAGCCAAGCTGAGAAATGCAGCACAAAGGAACACACCAGGAGTGTTTATGTGAAACCCAACAACTGTTCGTGTTCCCACAGCCCCTCTGGGCACACATTCATCACAAACTATTACAGGTGGGGAGAGATCTAAGCACGCCCACCGTGTTTTCCCTGGTATTATCGCTGTGAAATAAGATTTTTCATAGTAACAGCAGAATCTCTGTGCTTGCTGGAGCACTTAGCAGGGTCATTTTCCCATTTCTGCTTGGGGGTAGTTCCGTGCTATATAATAAACTGAGCATGACATAAAGGGGGTCATTTACAACCCAAATGCGTGTGCATAACCATTTTCCTTTGAAAACGGTGCGTAAACTGCAGAGTGGCGACGGTCTGAGATATTCTGCTGCTGCCATTAAGTCATCCCCGAGCAACTCGGCTTTAGTAACACTTCAGTGTGTAATTATTGCCTCTGTGTGATGTGTGTGTGTGTGTGTCATCCTGCTCTGGCAGCTGTGAGGTAAAGGCTTTGTTGTCTAGCGAGTTCCTCTCTGCTCCCTAATTTCAGACGCAGCGAACCCCGCGCGGCCACGGCGCTCCAGCCCTGCCTGAGCTCCCCCAGCCGAGCGCCCTGGATGACTGGAGAAGGGTGGCCTGGTGGTTTTTAGGGTAGTGCTGAGCCTGAAGGTGGTTTTGCCCCTCTGGCAGGTGAGCTCTGGATGTTGTTGCAGCACCAGCGGGGCCCTGCGTCGATCCCTGGGCCGTTCCGAGGCTCCTCGTCCCCGCCGGCATGGAGGCGTCGTGAGCAGGGTGAGTTCTCCCCGAGCTCCGTGGGTGTTGGGGGCAGGTGATGCTTCTGGAGAGGGTGAAATCTTCCAGAGGCCAACGCTGTTTGAACAAGCTGTTCGAGTGGAGGACGTTTCCCTGCCGTGCCCGTTGCTGTTTTTCCAGTTTCTGAAGCCTGAGCTGTGCCACGCCGGCTCCTTGGGCGCTCAGCAGGGAAGAAAGACAGACCTGATTTCATTTCTGTTTATCAGCCCCAAATATCAGCTGCACTTCCTAATTCCCGTGCCAAGGGGATCCAAAACATCATATCATACAGGCCAAACTTTATTGCATTCATCTTCCACGGGAGGTTTCAGTTACTGAGGAGATCGTTGAAAGGAAAAATCCCCAGGCCTGGTAGAATAGTTTTTATTTCGACTCAGTAAAATTTCTTCTTTTTATTTAATTCAGAAATAAGCTGAAAGCATTTTTCCTCGGGGAAAAACATTGCTTTTCAGAGTCTTTTAAAGCTTCTCTTAGGAAAAACCTTCATAGGGAAGAACAAATTTCTCCCTGAGAAGCAAATTAATTTTTGATAGCACCTACTAATGCCCCTCAAAAGTTTAAAAATCTTATAAAAATACGAAACTCCTTCTATCAAGTGAAACTTTCTGCTGATAGGACTCATAATGCTTTAAATAATGCAGGAAAGTCAAAATGAAGTTTTATCAGCTTTCCCCTCAGGGAGGGGAATTTCTCTTTTTATGAGCCAGTAAGAATTAGGTCGCAGGTGCTGGAAGGTGTCGTGGGCTGCTGGAAGGATCCTGTGAATGGAACAGCGATTGAGAGTCCCTTCCACTCCTCTGCCCCCGAGGAAGAAGAGACCTTTGTGCCATGATATCACAGCTGAGAGTTTCTTTTGATTTGTAGGATTCTCTCTTTAGCCCCTTCAGTTTATAGTTATTGAGCTATAAAGATATGTATGATTTTCCTTGTTCTCAGGCAAGCACGAGGTGAGTCTGTGATAGTGTGTGAAGTCTCTACTGACTGTAGGGATGGCAGAATCCCATTCACCATCCCAGATAAATCCCCTGCTGGAGGTGAGACACCAAGTCCTCGATGTCCTCAGATCCCCTTCGAAGTAATTCTTAATACTCCGAAGCAATGCAGTGTTTTTGTCTGGCTGTCCACTTCAAATAAGCCACTTCCCTGGTGGCCTGGAAGGAACAATTAACCTGATAATGGGAGTAGAAAATAGTTACAATAAAAGACAAGGCTCCCTATCGGGTTACGTAAGCGGCACTACCCATGAGGTGACACTTTTCAGGCTGTTGCCCTGTTTTGCTCTACATGTCAGAGATTAGAGGCAATGATAGCGCCCTGGGAGCTGCTGATGAAAGCCCTGGCGTAGTTTTCCTGTAAACACACAATTAATCGTGATTAAAACCGAAGCAGACGCTGCCTCAGCGCTGTAACGAGGTACCTGTGCTCCTGTGCCTGCAGTTATTTACCTGTGCAGGCTGAGATCTCACTGAAATATCTGAGCAGCTCGAAGGAGAGGCTCTTCCCCGTGGCCACCTCGTGCTTCAAGAGATTTAACCTTGCTCGTTGTTTCTCCAGCTCTTCCTGCCACTCTCTCCTCCCCCTCTGGCTTCGCTCACCTCCCAGCTGTGCCCCTCTCAACTTGGCAACTCCTTTTGCTGACGCACTTTTGGACTTTTGAGTCTGTTTTCAGTTGTTCTCTTGCTTTAAAGTCACTCGTTTAGTGCAGCTGTTTAATGCCCATCTCCATCATGTTCCAGTCCCCTTCTTTGTGATTTATGTCCAGTCTGCCTCTTCCCTGAGATGGGAAATGTCTTTTGCCCATAGACTGCTTTGTATTCTCAAAGTACTTAGCAAGAAGTAAATAGCAGAATTATTTATGAACTGAGTAAGACAACAGTCATTTGTTTTAGCTGTGTTAAGACTAAATGTTTATCAGTGTATTCACTGACACAACATGTGTCTGGAGACGACGTGAACTGCATTTCCAATGGCAGGGACAAAAACCTTTCTCCTGCCTCGACTGTTTAATATCCAAGTTGAGTTCTTTTGTGCATTTACTGCAGTGAGAGCTACCCTGTACTTTGTATGCAAGTGTACTAAGTCAAAATATTTTCCCTTCATAAATTATTTCTGTGAAAGTTGTGATAGGAATTCTGAGGAAATGCATCCAAACTAGGCATGTTTCCAGGTTGCTGCAGTGTGAACACATCTATCAGGGGTAGGAAGCACAATAAAAATTCGTTTCCATGCCTGTTTCTTAAGCCAACCTTTGCAAGGTAAGGAGTCCTCTCCAATATTTGAAATTCCTGGTCCATTTAGTGCCAAGAAACTCCAGCTGCACTCACATGTGTTTGGGCCCTGTAAGTTCTCAGTTCTCTGTACGTGGGACTGAAAATTCCCATAATTAAACATTTGTTGTTTATGCATTAATAGGCTTTCATTCAAATAGCAGTGTACTTGGCATTCCTGGCTCCACTCTCACACCAGGTGTCATGTCTTTTCAAACACACCCCACAATCTGCTTTTGGTATCTTGATATTCCCATCATGAAGGAATCCTGGAAGGAATCACTGACAGCGCCGTGACAGGAGCAGAGAGTTTGTGTGCACATTTGTCACATTAAGGAAAGGGGAGTAGGGAGGGAGGAAATGGGTACTTCATTTTGTTCATACTTGCAGGCAAATTATTTTTGCCATTTGTCCTTGGGTATGGAGGGCACTCCCCTCATTTCCTTGGAAATGCGTCCCTGACCTCGTAATGGTTTTTACATTCAGTGAATTTTAATGTATCCTGAACTCACCTTCTCGCTTTCAAATTATCCTGGGTGATTTAAAATGATGCCCTTGAGTGTCAGATTGAGAAACAGGGAGATAGTTGTTCTTTATTCCTCACAGAATTCATGCTGTGGGTGTTCAGAAGCAGGTTAAGATCCTTCTGTATCATGTGGTGGTGACATTTTCCATCCAGTAGAATCACGATCTTTTTTTCTTTTTCCTGAAGAAATGGTGAGAATTGTCACCAGGACACAAAAATCCTGGATATTATCCATGTGAAGGTTTAGCTGAGCCCAGCTTGGGCACTGGATTCAGTCTGTTACTTCAGCTATTCTAATGCAGTGAAAAATTTCAGGGATTTTTTTGTTCACTACCCTTGGTGTCTGGAACCCTCCTTCAAATATTGTATCAGTTGCACAGACCTTCCTGAAATTCTTCTGGAATTTGCCACTTTTCTGAAAGTGCCTTGGACAAGAGCAGATCACTCAGATGAACTGCAAATATTCACAAACTTTAGGGCTACCTCTAAAAGTCACTGAACTCTTTGCTTCTCTGCAAAACATCCACTGGCACTGTGATTGACAGATCCCCTTCAGTTTAATTTAGGCACAGGCTTGAATTTATGGTTCTCCTTTTAATGGTGCCACTTTTAATGGCATTCTCCTAAAATTAAATTTAATGAGTTGAGTATAAAACCTGGATAAACGAAATGGTATGTGCTTAACAACTGAAAAGTGAAAAGCATAATCAGTATTTGTGTTTATTGGTGTATAAATGGGCAATTTGGTCACTATACTTTCTTCAAATGAACAGGAGTCGAGTCACTGTGAATCTCTCTACTGCAGGAACATGATTAAAGATAACAACGAAACTGTTCCACTAATGGGCAAGAAAACAAATCCATCTGGAACTCCCCCTTCAAACCAGCAAGAGAAAAAGGTGACTGAAAGCACTCCCACAAAGAAAAGGTAGGACTCCAGCTCAGCCTAAACCTCTAAAACTCCCTGGTTTGTCTCTTTAGCTGCTGTTTGCACTGAAATACCACTAACATGTGTATTTACACTGCAAACAGGAATGAGAGAGACCTGGTGAACACAAGATGCCTCCACATGACCATGTTTATGCTGTTTATGTTAGGAACATGTATGATGTGTTTAATGGCACAAATATTTAACCCTTGGCCTAGAGACACCAGGCTCAATGCCAGTCTGTAAAGTCTGTTTCTGATCTATTTTGATTCATTGTTTTATAAAATATTCACTTTCATTCATAATTTATATTAGAGAATTAATAAAGGGACTAAGGGTTTATACTTAATATGAGTGGGGCAATCTAAGCTGTAATTCCTGCCTGATACTGTGCTATTGAAGTCAACCAGCTGGCTGTAGAGTGAGGATGAATTTTCATCCATAAACTTTTCACTCTGGATAATTACTAGTTATTAGGGCAATTTCTGAAACTCTGAAGACCCAGGCAATTGTGGCTGTTCTGACATTTATAATTCTCAATAATCAGAGGAACCACTTTTCACACAGGAACGGTGCCGTGAGTCATTTGAGACCCACTGCCTGGGTGGTCCAATTTGTCTTTCTGGCATTAAATTCCCAAAGAGGAGCTCTTTGGTGGCGTGTGGGGGAGACAAAGTGTCTGAACCAGCTCATGATACACCCAGGACTTCAAAAAGGGGCAATCCCATGGGAGATGGTGAAGTTATAAGAACACTGCCAGACCCAAACCCTCAATGACTTACCTGCTATCTCACCTTCGGTTTTGTGGCCTCAATAACAGCAACCCTGGGGGTTTTTCCCACCTCTCACCCAAGAGCTCAGGGTGTGGCCCACAACATTCCTGTGATCCACAGCACTGAGATCACGTGCATTTTAATGCAGGGGTTTAACACGTTCTCTTAATTATGTGTTTTACTCTGTTGCTCCAAAACCCTTCCTCCAACTGTGCCACCACCACCAGCAGCTGCTGCAGCACTTCCAGGCTGGCATCTCTCCCTCAACAAAACAAACAGGCAATGTGCATTTTCTTGAAAGACAATGTCATTCCCTTCTTGAAGGCCCTGGAATTTGGACTAACAGTGTATAATTAAGTACAGGAAAACTGGGAGGAGGCTGCAAGCGTTGTCAGAGCCTGCTGATGTCTGTGGGCAGTGCACCAGGGCCACGTAAGCGCTTGGGTATTTGCTGGCAGCTCTCCACCTGCTTTGCACCGTGGCTTTGGGGTTTTTTTTTCCCCCCCTCCCCACCCCATGATATCCCCAGGTAACCCACATGCCAGGGTAGGTGAGGTCTGGCAGCCTCCAAAACAGGGTTCACTCTGCAGCTGCTGCACCTGCCAGAACCCTCAGCAGGAACGCTCTGCTGGCAGAGCAGGAGCTGCTCTGAGACATCAGCCTGTGGTGCTGGCTGTCCCCTCGGGGGAGAAGGTCCAGCAAAGCCCAGACCTTGGCACTTCTGGCTTTAGGGAGCCTCAGTGCAGCTTCCAACAGGTGTTTGCTTGCCTGTTGGGACAGCTCCTGCACTTCACGATCAGGGAATGCAAAAAAACAGGATGAACCCCTGGTTTTGACCCTCCTTCCCAGTCCCTCTGCCGAGCCCAGACCTCAGTGAAGCAGCAGGGACTGGCACCAGTGATGGGCCTGGTTCTGCCTGGGTTTTCCCTCCCCCTTGCCCAGGTAGTTTCAGGGACACAGCTCTGCTAACCAGAAGTGACACTTTACTTGCTGCCTGCTTAGAACACCTTCACAGGTGCATCTCAAATGTTAAAAGGTCAGAAAAGTTTAAATAACTACACACAGTGAGTTATCACTTGGCTCCCCAAGACGTTGGAAAATGAGATGAACTGGATGATGCTGTTTTTAGCAAACATCAGCAAGTTGTTCAACAGGGTCCTAATAATATACTGCATTTTAGCATCAGTACATGTGCTTTATTCAGCAGGGTTCTCTGGGGAAGATGCAGTTAAAAAAGAGGAAGAAATACCCTGTGGACTAAACCATAAATATTAAGTGAATTGGAAACATTTTCCAGGTGACTACTGGAACATTTTTAGAAATGTAACACAGTTTCTGAACAACAGCCCACCTGGGAATTGCTACATCCACCACTGAAACTTCTCTCCCTCTCTTTGTGGTGAACTGTAGCAATGTTTTAGTGAGATCCAGTAATACCAAACCATTGATTTTTGCCTCTCAACTCTGCAGGCTTTTAAAGGATGATATCTTCCTATCTTTTTCATTTACATTTCTGTGTTGTTTCAAAATTTTATTCCTTTTTCACTAGAAATAACTGCATATGTAATTTATATAATCATTTACAGGGGGGAAAAAAAGTTAAATGTCATGCATGGCTGAAAAGAGGACACAGTCAGTCCTGGCTGGTGGAAATGCCTGATGTCATTTAACATGTGACCTCTCAAACTTTCTGATTTAATCATTATCACTGCTGATGGGTTTGAAACAATCCATCCTGATGGCTCCTGGCTGGAGAAACAGGGAGTAGGATGCAGTAGATTAAAAAGCAATGGGGTGTGTGTGGCTGGGCAGTGGCTGGGGTTGCAGTTGGCTCCTTGCACTGGAGGAGGATGCAGGGCTGGTTTTGGGCTGCTGGGGTTGCTCTTAGACATGTCAGGATCTGATGCCATGTGCTCTAAAAATACCTCAGGAATTTTGCCCATCTGCCAGCATGGAAAGAGCTGGGCACGGTGTTGGAGGTTGGGATCTCCCCAGGGGAAAGCAGATCAGCCTCTGTTCCAGCCTCTTGTTAGGTGATGCCAGGAAAGATTAATTGTCAAGCCTGCCCTAGGTATGTGCTCCTAGAGCTTTGCTCAGTCTGTGGCTGGACTTGCCTTTTATTACTAACATTTTTTTAAATGCACTGTCTTCAACAGTTCCCACTTCTTCCTGGAGATTGATGGCTTTGAAAGCAATGCCACTCCAAATAACACATCTCCCCCTGTGTTTTCAAAACCAATGGATTCAAATATTCGTCCCTGGTAAGTTATAGATGCATCTGCAATAGTCATACTGCAAATATATCTATTTTCTTTCCCCCAGCTTCTCCTTATTTCTCCTCTGACTCCAGTGCTAGAATTTCACTTGACTTTTCATACCTTTTGGTCACTTCAAAGAGAGAACTTCACTGGAGTCAGCTGTTGATCAGTAGATGACTTATCTGTGAGTTCATTCCATGCAAGTGTCAGCAGTAGATAAATCAGGCCTCGGTTTTGAGTAATTTTAAAAGCAGTACTTTTTTTTATTCTTAGCCTCTCGTTAATGATACATTAGAACAAACTCCACAGCTTAATTTAGCAAAGCCTGTTCCCAGCTGGGTGCTGACGTCCTCCCTCTCTGCTGCTCATTAGCAATCAAACAACATGAAAATGCTGAGTCTGAAATATTTAAGGCAGCCATTTATGCTGAATGAATAGAGAGAAATTATGACTGGGAAGAATGCTCTTCATTTTCAAAAACGTGTGAGGTACCAACAGCCAGTAATGATGAATAAGGGAAATATTTGACAAATCTGCCAAAAGCCCGGAATGACCAAAGGTTTTTGTGTTTCTGAGGGGTCTCTGCTCAGCTCTTTGGAATTAGCTGACAGTCTGATTTTGGTTTCAGAGGAGTGGTATCCAAATTTCTGCCTCTCATTCAGGGAGTGACCTGCACAAGACACACACAGAGCCTTTGTCACACATTCCCTGGTGGAATAAAAGCAGACTCTGAGCTCCCAGCTCTGGTTCAGAGGGAAGGGAACGCCTGCAGAGCAGTGCTGGGCACTTGCATTGCTGTCCATGCATCTGTTTTGTCAATGACTTACAGTTCAGATTCCCTAAATTATTAACCTGAGGTAGTTCATCAAATCTGAACCTTATTGAAAACAAAAATACAAGTAAGAAAATTTACAGTGAGTTTTAAATTCAGATCTGCTTTTAGGACTGTCTGGAAATTATGTACAGCAATTACAATTGAAATCCTCTAACTATATTACCTAAATATGTATTCAAGGCCCAGTCCTCAATTTCTTTTAGCTGAACCTTCCATCCAAAAACTGCTTCCATCAACCACAAAATGCTCCTGAGTTGCCTGCAGTGTTCTGTGTAGTAAATCTTTAGGTAAATCACTTCCACTGGGGGCTTGCAACCCACGTGCTGCTACTGATTTAGCACTTGTTCTGTGGGAGATGACAAATTAAGCATGTGAAAAGGAAGATTGCAGGCTTCAAACATTTGGGATGATGCATAAAACACAGTGATCATTAAAAAAAAAAAAAGAAGAAAAAACTTCTCACAGTTTTGGAATCCGTAGTGAAATAATATAACACAAAGCAGATTGCTTTCCTAATGTGGTTTGTTGTTTTTTTAAATATAATAAAATCCCGTGAGTCTCTCAATTTTTACCCCTCATTTTAAAATTCACATGGGAGATAAAATGCTGGAATTAAAAAGCACGATTTCAAATTAGACTCATTTCAGCCCTGCTGTAGATCCTGCTTCCTACCACTGACTGATTCTTTGCAGTTTGCTGAGGTACCTTTTAATATCTTTGCTTTTCTGTTTTCTTTAGTGCTTCTGGAAATGGGGAAGACATGGATTCCCCACAGTCTCTTCAGGATGATGCCACTGAGTACAGCCCTAATGTAGAGAGTTGCTGGTGAGTGGAGACAGGAAAGTCTCTCAGGACGTTTCCAGTGGATTAAGTTTATGACAGGGCAAATATTCCTTACTTTGCCTGCCATATTTAAGAAAAAAAGGTCGTGTGTGTGCACTCATTTCTGATTCCTCCATAATTAAATGTTGAGATAAACAACTCTAATCTCTGCTTTCCTCAGATCTCCTGTTTAGGGTGAGGATTCTTCATATTCAGAGTCTGTTTTCTCGATGACAACACAGGACTTACACACCGTGCACATGAGCTGGGGGTGGTTCTGACTGGGGGAATTATTAAATCATTCCTATTCCAAAATAATGATCAGGAAAGTGGTGTGAGATAGGAGGTTAAAAAGTCATCTTGTGCTGGGAGAGGGGTGGTGCAGCTTGGAGGGCAGCACCAGGAACCTCAGCACTGAAGTCAGCGAGTTGTGGGCAGATCAAAGAATCATTTCTCAACCTTTGTTCTAAAAGAATGGCTGAACTGGTGAGAAAACAAAGCAAAATACTTGAAAAATGTACTGGTTTTGTTATAAAACACCTCAACAACCACTTACCTGCAAATAAGCAAGCTGGGAAATGTTCTGTGAGATCCATGCCGAGATACATGTGGAAGCAGGGCGGGTATGGGTGGTCTGAGGCAAGTAATTGTATTTTTTTTTTCTCCTCTTACGTAGAAAATAACATAAAAAAATAGTAAATGGAATCAGGAATGTCATTATTTCTCACAATCCAGTGCTAACATCTCCCAAGGAGCTGAGCAGACCAGTGCCAGGAAGAAGCTGAAGCGATTCCTGTTCCGGGCGGTGTCTGAGGGGAACGTGGAGGAGCTGCAGTGTCTCCTCGGGGAGCTGAAGGAGAGATCCAGAGCCTGCACAAACATGACTGGGCCAGGTAAGGGGTGCAGATACCCGTGGGAGGATTGTTGGCTCTTCTGGCAGCACATTTGTAGCCTAAAACTGGGGATTATCTCAGTGCAGCAGCTGCTTTCCTGTGAATTCAGGTCTGTCTGGAGTCATGGCAGTGGGATGTCCAACAGGAAAACCAATAGCAAATAGTTTATGTTCATAAATATCCTTCAGGTTTCACCCCTGATTAACAAAAGTTTAGTAAATCACGATGATCTAATCCCAAAATTCGCTCTTGTAGATTATCTGATGAAAAAATTCACAGCTTCAGACACCGGCAAAACTTGTCTGATGAAAGCTCTGCTGAACATCAACCAGAACACCAACGAGATAGTGAATATGCTGCTGTCCTTTGCAGAGGAAAATGGTATTTTGGAGAGATTTATCAATGCAGCTTACACAGAAGAGGCATATAAAGGTACTGCCATCTGATATCAGTTCAGGTATACGGTTAAACACACTGCCCATAAACACTCCAGCGATGGTTTAAATTCCTAAACCAACTTTTATTCATTTATTCACTGGTGCTGTTGGTTGTCAAATATCACTGATATTTCAGAATGTGCTTGAGAGGTTCCTGTGTCTGTGTTTCCAGGCCAGACAGCTCTAAATATTGCCATTGAGAGGAGACAGTACGAAATAACCCAGAGCCTCATCGAGAAAGGAGCTGATGTCAATGCTCATGCCCAGGGTATCTTCTTTAATCCCAAGCATAAGCATGAAGGCTTTTATTTTGGTAAGTGGAAATGTGATCTTTCTGGAAAAGTTAAGAAGGAATACCCAAAGCTTTTATAAAACAACAACTTAAAACAATCAGTATTTACTGTAAAACAATCAATATTTACAAAGTAAATTTACTTTGATATATTAAGAATCTTAACACAGTCACTCTTTTATAATCTGATTTGTAATAAAGCATGAACACATGTTGCATTTTTTGATTTTTGTAGGTGAAACTGCACTGGCATTAGCTGCCTGTACCAACCAACCAGACATAATTCAACTGTTAATGGACGATGCCAGGACTAATATTTCTTCTCAGGATTCCCGAGGAAACAACATCCTCCATGCATTAGTTACTGTGGCAGAGGACTCCAAAACCCAGAATGACTTTGTAATCAGAATGTATGACATGATACTGCTGAAAAGTAAGGACAGAAATTTGGAAACAACAAAAAATAAGGAGGGTTTGACACCACTGCAATTAGCTGCAAAAACTGGGAAATTAGAGGTGGGTATTGTTTCAGTAGCATCTAAAGGAAATTAGTGCTCTGACACATCCTTTGGTTATCCTGTTTATGTATCAGTGGTATTTAGTGAGCTGATTTTGTTTAAAATACAAGCAAACACTTTCACTGCCATGTTGTTTCTATCCTTCAAGGTTTCCCTGCAACTACCCCTCTCTGTGACAAAATACATGTTGTTTAAAACCAGCTTTGTAGCACAGAAACTCAGAAATTCTGCATTTATTACCACACTGCACTTGTGCAGTCTTTGAACAGTTTCAGAAAACTCACTGGAACTGCTCTGCTGTAGAATTTGGTTTTCATTCATCAACTGAATTGTAAAGAATTGGCAATGGGATAATTTAGAAAAGAATTGATTAAGTTGAAGGAAGACATGAATGAACACGTGGAAAATCGTGCTTTTATCCTTTAGAAAAATGACTCTGACAGAAAATATGGAGGTATTAGAAACTCTGTATTTAATTCTTGAAGAGTCTTTCATCTCCAACACACAATTACAAATACTCTGACTTTGCACAGCTGTACAAAATGTGAGAGATGAAATGTTGGGGTCTGGGCCTGGATGTTCATGTGCTCTCTCCTTTCCCACGATCAACAGAGCTGCTCACAAATGACCCTGTTCATGTTTTAGATTCTGAAATACATCCTGAGCAGAGAGATCAGAGAGAAGCCCAACAGGAGCCTGTCAAGAAAATTCACAGACTGGGCTTATGGTCCTGTTCAGTCTTCTCTGTATGACCTGACAGAGCTGGACACCACTGCAGACAACTCAGTGCTGGAAATCATTGTCTATAACACAAACATTGGTGTAAGTTACCTATTTTTTTATCTATTTTTTTTTTTTGCTAGCAGTACACTCATTTCAGATGTGTGAGTCGATATATTCCAGTGAATCACTTGGAAAAGTCAACTGTAATTTTTGTTCTCGGGTTTTGTATCAGGAGCAAGATAAATTTGATATCCCTGTAGGTTGTCACCTTATAAGTGGATATGCATTCAACTCCTGAAACATGGGCTGGGCATTTTGGGAATGTCTTTTCCTGCATTAGAAGCATTAATTTACCTTGCATGTAAGTGTGGCCAAGCTGGTCAGGCCAAATAAACTTCACTTAGTAGGTGTGTATTTTATGTGTTCAGGAGTGTTTGCTTTTCAAAGCCAGAATTTTGCACTTGCTGAGTTCTAATTCTACCATAAAGCCATAAGACCAGAAGTTCACATGGCAGTTTTAGCTCCATCACAGCTTACCAGACAGAGAATGGCAGGAAACCCCAGCATGAGGGGGAGCTGTCCCTTTGCATCTTGTCTCCATCTGACACATCTCTGAGCCTCTCTGGATCAGAAAGGATGAGAGAAATACACAAAATACACGCCTGAAATTTAAGTTTTAATTGGTTTATTTTGGTTTTTCCCCCCTGCAGAATCGCCATGAAATGCTGACTCTGGAGCCCCTGAACTCCCTGCTGCGAATGAAGTGGAAGAAGTTTGCTCGACACATGTTTTTCATGTCCTGCTGCTTTTATTTCCTCTACAATGTCACTTTAACATTAGTTTCCTACCACAGGCCTCATGAAAATAAAGTGAGTACAGTGACAGGACCTCACCAAATTTCACTGCCTTTTCAATGCAGTTCTGGTTCCTGAATTGCATTTGAAATGCTAAAAAGCAGGTTTTGGAATATCTGGCTGTAGGGGGACCAGGCTCTCCCACGTCAGGTCCCTGCAAGGAAGGAGAGCAGTGAGAGCAGATAACTGCCCCAAAATACAAATACAACTGCCCCAAAATACAAATACAACATCCAAAGACAGGCTGTTAAATTTCTGAAAGTGTGGAGAAGGTGTTTTTATCTTAAGAAACAAAACTTCTGCTATTTCAAATATATACCTGTTAAGGGGGCTAATTCTTGAAATCCACCATGAAAAAAATTCTGACAGAAAGGGGAAAAAACCGTGCACCCATTTGGGAAGGTTTCTTGTTGCTTTGGCTTTTACCCTTCAGGTAAAACTGAGCCTTTCACTTTGGACCTGTCTTGCAGGCTCCACCTTATCCCCTGGCTCTGACACGGGGAGTGGGATGGCTGCAGCTGTCAGGACAGGTGATGGTTATGTTGGGAGCAATATTTTTAGCCATTAAAGAGGTAAGACTATTTTATTAACAAATACATAAATAAATACGTAAAGAATTTCTCTAGATCTGTGAACATGCTGCTGCTGATTTTATTGTTATCCACAATACACGTGGAGTATCTTTGATACGTGTAATTTTTTAAGTCTTTGGCACAATGCAACACTAACTCAGAATGGCCCTGGTTGCATATTTGAATATATTGTATATCTGAATACACCTGTACTGCTCTGTGAAACAGCTGTGAGGGTGTTTTCCTTTCCAATTCTCAAGGCAGAGATTTAATGCTTTGATAACATCAACATTGTCAAATTACTGGCTTCAAGCACACTTTTGAATTAGAACTTCTGATGGAAAAAAACATGGTATAATTTTGCCAAATACTGGAAGTCATTAAACCCAGCAACTGTTAAATTATGCCAGACATGACGTAATTTTAAACTTTGAAGTTAAAACTGTATAAAAAAACCCCCAACCCTATTTCTAGAAGTTATCATGCCTTATCAGTAGATGGATTATTTTAGAACACCGATGAAATTATTTTGAACACTACTTTTTTTAGGCCTGTTTTCTCTTACTACCACATCTATATTTTATATATCTGTCTACATAGAGTGTAGCCATCTTTCTGCTCAGGCCCTCAGACCTGCAGTCAATTCTCTCTGATGCCTGGTTCCACTTTGCATTGTAAGTCTGATGTGCACATATATATTTTATACTGTGTTTAAAAATGCTTCTGTATCTCATGGTCACAGAGATGCTGCTGTAGAAGATGCTCATCTTTTTCTCTGGATTATCAGGTTTAGAGGGATGGATTTAATCTTAGCTGCAGCTTTTCTGTAACAGCTGTTTTGGGGAGAATAGTTCACTTTAACAAATACAATCCTTATGCATTTATATACTTACACCACCTGTACTGATCTATTTTATTATTAAAAATAGTGACAATATTCCTGGGGAGAATACAAAGCAGTGTGCAACCCCAAACTGAGCATAAAGAGCAAAGAAATCTTGTTTTCATATTTTTTTTTCCACTGTATTGTTAGTTTTGTGCCAGTAATTTTCTCTTTTACATATATGTTTGTTTTTTAACAGTTTTATACAAGCTTTGCTTGTGATCTTCTCTGTCTTTTTGTACTTGTTTTCCTACAAAGAACACCTGGTGTGTCTTGTTTTGGCAATGGCCCTTGGATGGGCCAATATGCTCTATTTCACCAGAGGCTTCCAGTCCATGGGCATTTACAGTGTGATGATTCAAAAGGCAAGTTTTTCTTTTGTTTGACCTCTTTTATAATCCTCACTTGTTCCACAATCCTTATCAAGTATATTCAGCAATTTTAGGTGTATTTTAGAGTTTATATTGAGATGTCTTATTTTCAGTGTATACATATTATTTCAGCAGGGCACAGTAGATAACTCCAGTGGCAGAATCCAGTTTATATCTTCAAATTGACATTTTATTCTATTAAATTATTATGCTAAATATAATTGTGGGTTTTTTTCCAGCTAATGTAGTTCTGAAATTTAATTGCATCCCATGAGATAACAAACCAGACCTTTGTGTTTCTCCTTCAGACTAAACCAGTTTACTCAAGGAGAGCAATCTGATGCTTTACTATGTGCCTCACCTGTAACCCTGCAGAATTCCTAAGCATAAAACTAGCCCCTCAATTTTAATTTCTGACAGCTATTTTGTTGCATTTCCAGGTCATCCTGCAAGATGTGATAAAATTTTTAGTCGTCTACATCGTGTTCTTGCTGGGATTTGGTGTAGGTAAATATTACTGGAGAAAAGCACTGATGTTCTGTGTGAGTACAAAATTTTAGCATCATTATTCACAAGAATAATGAGATGAGACCTCATATTGGGGTTTCTCCTGGATATGAAGTTTAGCTGGGAACAGATGAGTCATTTGGCTCTCAATTGCCTGCAATTCCATTTGGATGTGGGCTCTTTCAGCTCCCTGGGAATCCCTCAGCTGGCTGCTGCTGGGCAGCCCAGGCTCTCTTTCCCAGTGCACTCTGAATTCTTTAGGATAAAATGCCATAAAGGATGACTGGGATGGAAATTCCCTCCTGCTTCCTCCCCAGCTCTCGCTGCCTTGATCGAGACGTGCCACGAGGGCGGTGAATGCCACTCCAACAGCAGCCTGGGACCTGTGCTGATGGATCTCTTCAAGCTCACCCTGGGCCTGGGGGATCTGGAGATCCAGCAGAACTCCAAGTATCCTGTCCTGTTTCTTCTGCTGCTCATAACTTTCGTTGTGCTGACTTTTGTTCTCCTGTTGAACATGCTGATTGCGCTGATGGGAGAGACGGTGGAGGACATTTCCAAAGAGAGTGAGCACATCTGGAAACTCCAGGTTTGTTGGGGAGTTCTGGGGAAGTGCAGATGCTTGGGCTAAAATCTCTTGAGCTGTGTGTGTGGTAACTCATGCTGACACAACAGGTTAGGCATTAATGATAATCCCCATTTGTCTGTGTGGCTGAATAATGGAAATAACTCATTTCAATATCAGAGATTTGTAATAACTGCAGATTTAACAACTTCTAAAGGTAGTATTATGGCTTGGATTTCCAACCCATGCACTGTCACATACCTTTGTGACTTTTGCTCTCCTGGATATGATGTTTCACCCTCTTCCCAGGAATCTGTGGATCCCTATTTTCACACACACACAGTTGGTGATGTGCCACATTATTTGCTGTTGGTTGTGGATGGTGAGATGGAAGTTGGAACTGTTATAATGAAGCTGCAAACTGTATATGCTGTGGAATCACACAGTGTTGGGCATTTATTTATTGTTAACAGAGAGCCAGAACTATTTTGGAATTTGAAAAATTCTTGCCAAAATGTTTGAGGAAAAAATTCCAACTGGGAGAGAGATGTAAAGTGGCTGAGAACGACACCAGGGTGTGTTTAAGGTAAAGCAAAGCTTAAATTACTGTGCTGTCAGTTCTGCTCTGGAGGCTGCTTCAAGGTTACTTCTCCTCTTTAAAATATTCCTGGTATGTCTACAAATTATACTGGGAATACAAAAATATAATTTGGGGTGGTTTTCAGCTGTGATCAATTTTTTTAAAAAAGTGAAGGTGTAGATAATTTTTTTGGTAAGAAAACAGGTTTTCATCTTCATATGTTTCCACTGTGCAAGTATCTGGTCTGCTTGCAGTAAATGTTACTTTGTCATAATCTCCTTTGAATGTTAGCTTAAAAGTAATTATATTTAAATTGATTGCTATTTGATGATCACCATATTAAAGAATAATGCTGTTTTATCAAAAATAGTCAAGGTGAGATTCAAGCTGTACTCACAATGTGTTAAATTATAAAGTAATCTTAGTATTATTCTCACCTTCACATAGTACATAACACCACAAGGGACACTCAGCCTTTTAGTCCCAGGAATATAAAGGAATAAAAAGGAAAGTTCAGCAATGTAGCTGGGAGATAATGTATGATAATAACACAACTTGTATCCAACATAAACAGGATTAATGAAGTGAAATGGACCGAGTGGAAAACACACGTTTCATTTATTAATGAAGACCCAGGGCCAACAGGTACTGTGGGATTTTATGGCACTGTATTTTCAAAATCTTTCCTTATAAATGCATTGATATGATTTTATACCTTTAAAAAACATACAATCACACAATCTAGATGTTCAACCACACTTTACTGACTGCAGAAACAAATAGTTTAGATGGTAAGGGTGATGAATTATTTTTAAAGATTTGGAGAGAGGGTTGGTTACAAACACATGATGATTTGTGGCAGGTGTTGGATGACAAATTGCCCCTCAGAAATGCTGAGCAGGAACTCCAAGAGACTCCTGTGCTGGAAAGCTGTGGAGAAATGAGCTCAGCCTGAGGTGTCCAATGTCCCTCTGGCATCAGGAGTCGGGACACAACAGGGGCATGTGAGGATCTGGGAGGCTTGTTCTGAAGTTTCTTCTGGAGCCAATTAACATTCCTGTGGCTTAAAGAATGAGCTCAGAAATCAGGAAAAGGGGCAGCCAGAACCACTGCTGTGGAAGATATGGTAGCAAACTGACAACTTGCTGTTTGAATAAATGCATATTTTTAACAACACAAAAAAAAGATGTGCAAAACTTTGATCTTGCAGATACAGTTTCTACCATATCCTGTTTTGTTTACAATGCATTTCTTTGCAGATCCAAGCAAAATTCAAGATGATAATTCAAGAACTAATAGCAAAAACACCCTGAATACGTTTGAAGAAATGGATGATTTGCCTGAGACTTCCGTTTAGCTTGTGCTGTGTTTGATCTGTGGCTGCTCTGAGGGTTAAAAAGCATCAGCAGTGGATGCTGAAAGCTTTGTGGGTGTTTTGGACAGCTGTAACCAGCTGGAACACAACCTTTCAGTGACACAGGCTGATGGTTTGAACCCATTCAATCAGGGCAGCTGAGCAGAAATCAAATGGACTATTCACTGGTTCAGTTCTGAGCCTCTCAAACCATTGCTGTCCAAGTTTGTGTGACGCCACTCAAACTTGGCTCTAAGATGTTGAACTGGATAAGAAAAAAGGTCAAATGTGAGATATTTCTTCCTTTTGTGGAAAATTAAGGTCATCGTGATCCCAGTCTGCTGGTTTTTTGGACTCTCTAACTCATGAGAAAACTCATTTTGTACTCTGACCAAAGTTAAGTTCTTGACGTGGAGCAAAGAAAAAAAAGCATTTCAGTTCTGAAGACGACCAAATGAAGTAGGTTGTTTTGAAATAACCAAGCTCTGGATGCATTTGCAGCTTTTGCACTGACTGTCAGTGTTACTGGAGGCTCAGTTCCACAGGCTGGAGAAGCCTCCTCAGGTCCCAGTAGCTTTGCCTGCTCTGTTTTCCTCTGTGCAGTCCCCAGGGTGTAATGGGGTGTTTTTACTGCTCTTTATTTATTACTCTGTGTTTGTGTCTCCCCATAAAATAACAGGGGCAGAAATATCACTCATGGGGGAGGATATTTCTGACCTTGTCCCACTCACGATGTCTTTACTTTTCCTCCTTGGCTTCTCCCGTGCTGTTGCATCTTGCTACATAAAATAACTTATCACCTTGGTAGTTCTTCTGAATTAATTTCTGCCTCCAACCACTTCAGGAAAATAAGTCAGTATTTCTTCCCAAAATGAACAGAATAAGTTCAGTGCAATGCAATTGCAGACTCGTTTTTATTCAGAGAACTACGTCATGCATTTCTGTAGCATTTTTTATTTCACTCCCTGTGATGACCTAGCACTATGAATTACATTTTTAGTTTTCTATTTTATGTGTATGTATAAAAAGAAACATTTGTTCTGTGTGCTTTGAAATTTCAATCAATACACTGTGTGTGTTCAGTGTCACAGGCTTTTCATCAGACCTCTTCACGTGGTGCCTGTTTTAAAGGTGCTGTTTCAGGCGAGACTCAGGGGGAACTCAGTTCTGTGTTCGAATGGTAACAAGAATTGCATTGGATTTTACAGCCAAGCCTGCTGTGGGCAAAATGATCCCCAGGACTTTCTTACGGCACAAGACAGCGTGAGGGGAGGACAGTGCACGGCTGTTGGCAGGAATGTGGCTCTCGCTGCCCAACCAGCCTCCTGCAGATGCTGAATCCTGTGTTTCCTACCGTGGATGGATGGGAGCCAGTGGAAACCTTCGGTTGTGTTTGTAGAGGGCAGAGGAATTCGAGGGGAAGGACCCTCGTAGATCATGTAATACCTGAGCATTGTTTGCCTTTCTTAGTAGGAAGTGGGAGTAGGAGAAGAAAAAATTCTTGTGGTCTGGGAATCTTTCAGCTTTGCTGGTTGATTTTGCATCGAAACTGCCAATGAAGGATTTTGCCTTAGGACTCCACAGTGCTGTTTGGATCCTTTTCAGTGCCAGTTCTTGTACAAAGGAAAAAATAAAATAAAATACCTCTTCACACGTGCTCAGGAGCCAGAAGGACCCAGAAGGACCCGTGTTTCTGTGTCACTGAACACAGGCTGTGCCGTGCTGAGGTGACCCTGGGAAGCAGGGAAGCACAGACACCCTGAGGGGATGTGCTGTGGGATGCCCAAAACTGAGTGGACAAACTGAGGAAGAAGCTGAGGGGCTGTTTGGGAAAGTCCTCAGTGAGGAAATGCCCTCCTGGTGTGGCCACAGAGCTCTGCCAGAGCACACAGTGGCTCCTGTCTCGAGGCTCTCCCCAAGGACACTGTGAGTGATGACCAGAGCAGGTGATTCTGTGCTTTTTATACAACGTTTATTTAAATTAAAGAAACAAAACGTGGAACTCGATAAACATTCTGTCTTCTGTTTTTATTTTATTGCCATAGGAGTTTACACAGAGACAAGGGAAAAAATACTTTAGATTTAGTAGGAAATAAGGAAGACATCACTTTTCAAAAGGTATAATGTGGGAATTATCTGGACAATTAGTCTTTCAGTAAATAGTTAACTAGAGTATCCTTATGAAAGTTCTTAATGTTTATTACTAAATTGTCAAATATGTTAAAAACAACTTAAGAAAATAAATTAACCCCCCTTTTCTTCTCTTTCTCAGTTCCTATGTCAGACTTTCTCTCTGCAGATACAGAAGCTTTACATTTCATTTTAGTGCCTTTTCCTCGGGAATCCTGTGTCTTCAGCTTATTTTTATCTTTGTAAGTACAAAAAGAAAGCAACCCCCAAGGCCTCCCCTTCAGCACAGTGGGGATTATTCACATATGCAGATAATAACATTTATTATATAGCTTCCCTGTTTCTCTCTCCTCAGCTTTTCCTTTGTCTCACATTTTGTAAGCTGATCTGAGGAATTAGTTTCAAGGATCTCATCCCATTTTAAAAAGTGGTGGCTATGGGAGGTTTGGGGTTATAAAATAGAAAAACTGTAGTTTTTTATATATAAAGTAGTTTTGTGGATAAACATCTTCATAAAAACTTCATAAAATATTCTTTCCATCTCTAGGAATCCTTTAGAACAAGTAACCAGGATAATATCCTGGATAATAATCAGCACTCTGACAGTATGTCTCATCTTAAAAGTGCTCAGCAAGGTTAATTAAATTACAATTTAAAATTAGACTCTGTATTTATTTATTTATGCCATGAATTACTGCTGAGTGACCCTGGATCTCACCAAGAGACACACGTTTTAATGGAAAACCCATGATAAACCCTTAGGAAGTGCTCTGCTTTGAGACTGAGGACCTGAGGGGTTTTGCAGTGAGTTTAATTTTCTCTGTTTTCACAAAAGCTTGTTTCTTTTCATAATATGCAGCTTCATTAATAAATGTTGGATAGACTGGGCAGTTCCCTTGATATGGAATGACTTTTCCATCCAGGGTCAGAAACAGAGGATCACCGTTGTTCAGTGGCTGCCAGTCTTGATCCTTAGGGAAAGGAAATAAATGGGATAGATTTACTTTTCAAGTTTTTGTATATTCTGTAATTCCTGAGTTTATGCTCAATAATTGTTATTTGTGCAGTTTATGACAAAAGCTTTCAGAAGAATTCCTTGTAATTTGGGGTGTCTGGCCCTCATTTTCAGGTTTGTAGAAAGAATTCAGTGGTAGAGGTGAACTAGAAGGATGAATTTTAGAATTCAAAATTAGATTTATATTTTAAAATATAAGCTATCACATTGTATTTTTCTTTTCAGTTTTAGGTTCATAACTGATTTTGGATTCAACAAACCCATTGGGAATATTGGCATTTTAAATATTTATTGCTAAAATATATAACAATGCAGCAGGAGCAGCACAAGAATACACAGAAAATGTCAGAAATAGAAACTATTCTAGCATTTACCTGCAGTTTAGGGTGAATCACAGCAATAATTTCATTGTTCTTATTCCTGGGGTAATCTACTTTCTCCATTATTTTAAAAACCTCAATTGTACATGGTGGAAATTCCTTTCCTAGAAAGAATAAAGGTAATTTAATGTCAAAATGAACAACTGCCTGTTAAAAAGAACAATACATTATTTATTCTCTTTAGAATGGCTCAAACCATCAGGTTGTCCCCTCAGAGCAAGTTGCAAAACGATGGTGCAGTCACATATTGTGGCAAACGAAGCCCAGGCCTAAATTTGCTGCTGAAATTGGGACTTTCCCCTGTCTAGTCCAAAAGATCTGTTTTGTAGATGAAGAAATAAGCCCCCTGACACGACACAGGAAGGTTGTCATCTCTCCTTACCTTCATTAAAAAGCTGCACAAAATCAAGGCCATGCTTGACAATCTTCCTCATTTTGTCCAAAATATCAGCTCTAGCAACACCTTGTGGCTGGGGCCCCACCTCGACACCTGTTTGCAGATGAGGGAGATGATTAACGTTGCAATAATCCATCACAGGCTTACACTGCACAGCAAAAATAGGTGTCTGATGGGTCAGTGTTTAATGTTTTGAAGAGGAATTGTAAAGCACAGTCCTGGGAGTTTTTGTTAATAATTTCACTCACCAGTCTGGGTCACTTAAAGAATTGTGTGCACATTTTTGAGTGTGCTACGAGGGTAAGAGAAAGGGTCAATGTAGATGTATGTTTATTTCTCTTTTTCTTTCCCTCATCCTGTCTATTCATGCTGCATTTTAGAGAATTTAATAGGAAAAGCAAGCTACTGATTTTTTTTTTTTTTTGGTTATGGTTGTGATTCCGTAAATGAAAAAGTCAACCATTCCCATGCAGGACATCAGTTCCTCCTTCCTTTGTCACATCATCTCTTCCTGACTGCCAAACAGTGCCTCAGCCTTATTTAGAGGACATAAACATTGATTTTCTGAAGCTGTTACTTCCTCCTTCTCCTCGTATCTTATAAATATTTTCTCCAAAAAGTGAGTGAATTGAGTTTAAGAATTTCCATCTGGCTTGGGTGTTTTGCAAGCCAGAACTCTGACTGTGTAAATCAGAACTCTTCAGAAGACTGAATAACCATGTAAACTCAATTCAATAAACATATTGTCAAACAAACAATTACTGGTGATCATCACACAGTGAAAGGAGCACATCTGGAAAGAGCCACGTTCAAAATCATTTACGGTGGCTCAAAATAGTCTTTAGATTTCGTATTTACCGACAGGGTGCTTTGCTACAGATCGAGTTGTTGCATATTTCAGGCTGGGATGTTCGATCAGCAGAGCAGGGCAGGGTTCTGGAGCCAGAGCGTTCTGTGGAGACGGTTTAAAGATGTTCTTTGTTATGCAAATGGTTTCAAATGTTGTGCCACAAAAGATTACTGATGCAGAAGTGATTTACACAATGTCTTCAATATGTTGCCTTTATTTCAGGGCCCTCAA